ACAATGAAATCTACGAGAAGGAGCAACGAGACTGCGGACCCGTTTGTCGTGGATGAAACACCGACGCTGCTGCCAATAGGCCGAAGATGCACATGGTAAGCGCACCCGCCAACGCTGTCCGTCATACGCCTGCGTACATGCCTGGCACATGGCAAAAGCGTGGCAGCGGCGGTGCATAAACCAAATGCAAGACGAGTTGTATTCCACAGGCCAAGCTGTTCGGCGCGTGCCAGAGATCACAGAAGTGTAGCCGCGGCATCTCTTCTGCAGCGAGGCAGTGTGGTTTGCGCGTGTCGCTGAGGCCAGATGCACATGCTTGTTCTGAAACCCGGAAATTTGCGTCACGGAAATTATGCTGTTTTCTCTTGAGTTCTCTTGTTTCGCCTGCGCGAAACGCACGTTTTGTTTTGATGAGCGCATTGTGGTAAGTGAAAAACCCAAGCGCCGCGCGGGTTTGGCTGCACCGTAAGAGCGGTGACGTGCAATTTTGTTGCGCTGGCTGTCGGTCCGGCGGGTTGTTTTTTGTGCAGCTGTTTGTTTTGCGTGTTTCTGTGTGAGTGTGTTCTGGTTGGCTTGCCTGCTTGCTTGGTGCTTGTTTGTGTGTGCGCGTGTTGCTCTTCAATTGCTTCGGCAGTAGGGCCCCCAACAGAATCGCAAATTGTTGAGCAGCTGCGCATATGAAACCTGTACCGTTTTGCGGCCCAGGCGAGTGTCTTCGCGCACTACGTTCTACTTTGGACGATGAGATACTGCACTTCAGAAGGCCGGCCGTAGCTGGATCAGGTCAGAAGGTGCGAGGCCGGCTGTTTTGATGTGCATGGCGCTATTCGGGTTTAATTGTTGTGTTGAGTTTCCCTGACCATGCCAAGGAGTCTTTATCGAAGCTTGGTATGCCCGCCAACGGTGCATTTGGAGCACACAGAACCCTTTGTGCGTTAAACCTTGGAGTGCCATCCGCCTTGCGCTCCATCAAGTGCATTCGACAACGAGTCGAGACCCCCGCATCAAACGGCGAAGCTTGAGAAATTTGGGGCAAGATTTGCCAGAGGGATTCAGGACCTTTGAAAGAGCTCGACTTGTGACACATGAGCGGAGATCGAGCTTCCCATGAGGAATCAGAAACTGAGCTTCGAGGTTGCAATCACGGGATTGCGGAAGAATTTGTTCGGAGGTTCGCAGAAAATCATAGTGCAATGGTTGTTTTCGCGGAATGACGCGGACTCTGATCTCTTTGGTGTGTGCTGCACATTGGCTACCAGCAGGCAGTATCTCACTTGATTGTCTCAGAAAAATGACGTTCACTCACGCAAGTGGCACGCAGAAACAAAGTTTGTTCGTAGTGCCACTCACACACTGCGAGTAGCTACTGCATTGATTCCAACAAGAACGCCACTTTTGGCATGCGCGGAAGCAGCGGCAGCAGAACATGTGTGTGGAAGCAAGACCCCATGCCAGGGAAGCTTGCAGAATTTGCGCGGTTTCCCATCCCAGGCTATGACATGTCCTTTTAGTTGTGGTCGCTGCTCACATGTTCCTTAATGTCAGTTTGATGTGCGCATCGCCAGAGTGGGGACTTGGGGCCTTTGAAGGTGGCTGGCGTGAGTGTTCGCTGCAAAGGCCGTTGCAAGGCGCGCAGAACAAAATCCGTGTCGAGTCAAGCATGCCCTCATATCAGCTGGCACTTCTCAAGCGTAGTTAAGCCACACGAGGTGCCATACCCTTTCTGCAACAGTGACACATGGTTTGGGAGTATCCTTCCGCTTGGAGAGGGAAAAAGGGGCAGCTGGCAAGCTTGTACGGGAGACGGTCCAACAGCCTTCACGCGAGCCCCCTTTCACCAAGCCAGAATTGAACGAGGCCTGCGACATAGACTTGATCCACTGTCGGACTCAACAAGGAGAGGCATAAGCTGAGCCTTTCACATCGACAAGGAGGAGCACAAAGTGGACAGAAGCCTGAAGGAGCAGTTTTGATCGGGCTAGTGGCCCAGCAGTTGTGCGCGTTTGCCACAGCCTAGCACTCCCCTGGAAATTCCGTGTGCTGCGCCACACTCAAAGATGGCTAAGTGGCGAGGCGCCTCAGTACAGATCAATCTAGGTGCCTTTTGGCTCGACCTCGAGACCTTTTCACCAGTCGTCTCGAAACCTAGCGGACGGCTTGGCACACACGATCGTCATCCTGCCGTGATGGGTGAAGTCGCCAAGGGACAAAGTCACAGGGCAGGCATCGCTGCATTGACAGCTGCCCTAATCAAAAGATGATGACATGTCCCGTAGGCAAGTAGCTTTCAAGATACACAACCATGTTCCCCGCCAGGGCTTGACTTGCTTTCACACATCTACCCAGTTTGGACAGACAGGCAATCTATGCAGCATGAGCCTCACAGACGGCAGCCTCTTGGACATTTGGATGCTTTGCCATCAAAGCACTGAATTGAGAATTTCCTAAATCTGCCTTGTTCGGACACAGCCTTGCAGAGACAGCATATTTGTCAACAAGTCCTTTTGAGTCCCGGTCCTTTTGAATCCCGCATCACTCACAGACAGAAACGGAAAGACAACGTTGCTACAGCCAGCCTTTGCCAAAAAAGAGTTTCTTCTTTCCGTTCCTTCAAGTGCTTGGCACGGTCAAATAGACGGCCGCGCCCTTGCAGGCGGTCGTTGCCGCTCGGAGCTGGAAACAGCACATTGCGGCACAGTCTTGGGAGATGCTGCACACTGAGCTTGGCTGTTGCAACAACACATTTCCAAGAGGACTTTGGCGAGTGCTGGAGCATGCTGTGTTTTGAAGACTCATCAGTGGCAGATGAGCACCCCCCGATGCTCGATTACCCCTGGAAGACTGACTCTGGCAGTTTGCTTTTTACGCAGAGAGTTGGAGGCAGATTTCAGCAAAGCCTGAGCAACACTGCCTCGGTATCAAAGGTTGTCAGAGTACAAAGCAATATCTAGTTCCTGGCTTCCGCACAGCTCGAGCGATGCCTTGGCCGAAGCATACGAAAGCACGTGCTTCTTCAATTTGGCAACTAGCTCGACACGTTTTACAAAGCTGCGAGAACCGAAGTGACAGGTGTCGTGATATCGTATTTTTAGCTGGTGACAAACTGTGGCCTGCATGGTGTGTTCCAGCCGTTCTGCATCCAGATCTTTACAGTGACCATGTACTTATACCACTGTGCTAAATTTACAAGCCTGCCAGCTTGCGCACTGAGCTCATCCTTCATGCATCCATGCTTTGGGCCGTTGAGTTGCACAGGCCTGGGCTTGGCCAGAAAAAACGTCGGCTAGCATAGCCCAAATTGTTGCTTGCAAAGCTGCAGTTTCCGGCCCAAGACTCATGTGAGGAAGCTTATGAATGCGTGTCTTTCTGTTTCCAGTATCACGAGCTGTCTAGCTTGATCACACCCGCACGGCAAGGGCAAGCATTGCGACTGCCATCATACTGGGATGACAGTGCATTCCAGTGGTGAATTCATGAAGCTGGATCGCAGCACAATTTCCCCACAAAGCACTACGCCTTGATTTGCAAATCTCGTTTGAAAGGCCTGCCAGGCATTTGAGACTGAACCTCCTCGCACACGGCAGCTCAGCTTTGCTCCAAGGCAACTTGCTGGCCACCCAAGCGCGAGACTGCACTCTCGCACAATGACGCTGCCGGCGATCCTTTGCTCGCAATTGCAGTTGAGTCTCCGGGCAAAGCGTTTGAAGTCAATGCATGGCTCACAGGTTAGAATGTTTGTTTGGTTTGAGCGCGAGCAGTGCAGCCTTGTTGCCTCGAGCCAACTGCATCTCAGCCAGGTGGAAAGCGAAGTGGAAAGTAGAGACGGGTTTCCGGATTCCGCAATTTCAAGTTGACAGCTCTTGATATGTTTCAATGGGCCTGGGATCTTCGCAGCCGCTTCATGGGTCACTTTGAGCGCGCTTGAGCGTCACGCCCATCATTCCGGCATACGTTTTCGCAGCGCGGGCACACCCACACACCGCATACGTCCAGGTGACAAAAATCAAGCAGCCTCTAGGTTGTTGAAGGCGGTGTTTGGGGCTCAGATGCTCATGACTCCACAAAGCGTTGGACAGGCAGGCAGCTGCATGACTGCTGACATGGCACTGGCAGGACATCGCAAGGGCAAGACCCGGTTACAATAGAAGATTGGATCTCACAGCGTTTGGTAGCTGCAAAATATTTCAAGTTGTGCTTTCGGGCACTCCCGGCAGCTCGTGGTCGTTGCTGCACACGCTTCAGATTGTCAGCCCAGGCTCCGAAATCTTTGCGTGCTCCAACTTTGTGGGAAACTGTTGGCGGGCCGAAGGGTAGCCCCACGTTCTGCATGACACGCTTCGAATGCGTGAGGCATTCACCCACTAGGCGGCGAGGAAGCTGGCATGCGCCAAACATGCTAAAGCTATCGCACGTACCTGTCCATATGGTCAAACACAGACAGCTGTGAGACATTCGCAACGCTCCATGTCATTCGATTCAGGCCAGCCACTCGGTGGTTGCCCCAGCAGGCGAATGAGACTGTGCTCAGAAGTTTAGAAATTGCATTTTGCATAACGCCCAGAAATGTGGACAAACGTGGCTGCTAACCAGAACCGCTTGCGGACACGGACTGCCCGGACTGCAGTAGCGAAGGTGTTGCCTCGGACTTTATTAGGAGAAACTTTTGTTAGGTCTGTTGTGTTGTATTTTGGCCGTCTTTGGGCGGGTATGCATCTGCGCCTGAAGTCGCGTGCGCGCATGCCGGAGAAGACCAAAACCCAAGTGACTCATTGCCTGCATTGCACTTCCAGCCAGCACGCGGGGAGCAAGGCTCCGGCACGCTTATGTCGGCCGACAGTTGCGTGAGGGTGCCTTTGCCAAGGCGCTGTAAACGTGGCTGGAAGCGGCGCCGTGTGGCAGCTGCATTTGCTTCACTTCAAGCTTGAGCCACAAAAAGAATAGGTGCGCCGGAGCTACAAGCAGAAGCATTGTCAATGAACAGCATGTAATGCCGGGTTGTCATGTCTTGGGCCGTTGCGTGCCCGTTGCCCGCGTATCTCAGCAGCTCTCGCCAAGAGAGCTACAGCGCTTGTTCTGACGGCGGGCCAAACATGAGGAGGTTACAGCACAATTGGCCATGCCTAAGTGCAGAGCAGCGCATGTGCTTGGAGAGAGCGGCGGCCATCCGGATCATTCTCCACACAGGGCTTCCTTGGAGCAAGGGCTGCGCAGCATATGCCAGGCAGTGTGCTGAGCCGAAGCGTGGCACCAGGCACCTCATTTTTTCAGCAACGCTGCTTGGCTTCGTGGGCGTCGCTCACTCAGCATGCAAGTAGTGAAACCACGCAGGTGTCTCAAATGCTCCAGCCCAAGCCTGATGTTTGCGCGCGCAGGGCAGGTGGAGCGAGCCAGGCGCAACATGTCTTCACTTCCGCGACAAGGGTGGCAGGTGGCCGCACGATTCCGTTTGGACCAAGTTTGGGACACTGCCGCCCGTGGCTTCCGTGGCTTCTATACACCAGGGCATGCCAGCAGATGCTCCGTGCGTTGCATGGCCCAAGATGCTCAAGACGCAGCAGCGTAGCACAAAGGCCCAGCGGGCGCGGCTTGCACAATCGCTAGTCCCACTTGTTTCGCTCCTGTTGGCCAGCGGCATTTTCCTGACGGCCCACCGTTTTGCCAAGATACGTTGCACCCGTCCAAAGGCTTTCCGAGCTGGAGGGCGACAAACCCAAACCCTGGAACAGTGCCGCTGTCGCGCATGCGCCTCGGCAAATCCATACCCCACTCAGCCGTGAAGGGCTGCGCTTGAGCCAGAGTTTGGCACGTTCGCCGCAGCCCATGGTCAGAATGGGAGCCGTGAAAGCGTTGGCCAGGCTGTCGAAGCAATGAGATGCCAGTGTTGGCCGACATCCCAACCGCTGCAGCGTACTGTTGCATCGGCTCGGGTCGCACAGATCCAGAATCTGACGGCCTCGTTTCTGAGTCAAGAGCGGTCCGGGTGCAACTTCCACCTTCGCCGCCTTGCACTTGCCGCAGAGCTGTGATGGCGGCCAGCTGCCTCCAGGCGCACGTTTGCCGTCAGATGGGCCAGGCAAGGCCAGGCAATCGGCATCACCCAGCTCTTGGCGCAAGGCCCACCGGTATAGTCTGGGTCCAACGGACGCCTGAACGCAGCAGAGGGTCCGTGCGTTGCAGCGGGGGGCCGCGTTCCAAAACAAGCCTCGGATTCCTTCAATTGCCCGGGCGCCAGTGCGGGGTCACAATGCCATGGGCGCAGAGGCGCAGAAGCGCGAATTACACGCGTCGCTCTTCATTGGTGGGGGGATATGGCTGCCGCAATCAAAAGCAAGTTAGGGGGAGCCAGCCGAAATGAGCTGAGCAGTTTGCCACTGGAGTTTAGCAGGCAGGCCGTATAACAGGAGTATAACATGCACACTGATATCAAGAAGCATCAGCATGGCCAGCAGTCAAGACTCAAAGACTTAAACTCATTGGGCAAATCTGCAAGCTCGTGATTCATGAGCGTTGCCCGTGCGACCTTATCAAGGGTTGCCGCAATGAGGCGATCTCGCTCATCGGCAAGCGCAAGCAGCCCAACTAACTCAGCCATTTTGGCTGTCAACATGTGCGTAGTTCGCCAACAACAGGCACGAAGCTGGCTGCTTGCAATTGGATGTGCGAGGATTTGTGCGCCCAACTGGCAGTTTTGCCCTGCCTATAGTTTGCGTGCGCAGCGCGCGCTTCGCAGTACTTCATCGCCAATGGGACTGGCCGCGGTCGTGCCGGGCGCAGTCGTCCGGCAAAAGTGGCTGCGTGGCATGCCAAGCCGAGCTCAGATTGCTAAGCCTGGAGGCCTTCTGAACAGAAATAGGAAACTAGGGGTCAGCAGCTCAAGCCGCCAGCTTGTCAGACGTGGTACGAGAACGCGCAGCTTGTCCTCAAAGTGCAGGCCATGCCTCAGCGTAAAGTTGCTCAGCGTAAGCAGGCTGAAAGGGTAGCGGCCGGCCTGCTGCAGGCTTCGAACAACTGCAAGATTCCGACCCCGGCTGCAGAGCCACACCCGTGCCAAGGCCCAATCAAAGACTGGAGCTGGATGCCGCTGGGCGTGGATGCTGAGATATCCTCCCGTGCTGGGCAGAAAATGTTGCCCGTCTTGCCACCCCTTTGCAGTCGGAGCTGCGTATGCCCTTCACTCCAGCTTTGGAGTGGCACGAGCCGCGCTGCACAAAGGCGAGCCGTCTGGAAAGCTTGTTCTTGCCACTTACAATTTATCTGCGCTTGCGCAGCTGCCGTGGCTTTTGCTGGGGCAGCTCCACGCTTCTGCAGTTTGAGGCTTGTGAAGAAAGGTTGCAAGCAACGGCCAAAGCTGCCATGCCGAATGTGGGCTCGGGCCAAGCCTTGCTGTGCAGCTTATGCCAAATCTTTCTAAAGCTTTGGCGTACCATGCGTACCCACAGATCTGAGGTGAGAGACTTGCAGCGGGAGCTAGTCGGCCGGGCCCATGCAACTTGCGTGCACCGCGTGCTGGGCGTGCAATGTGTAAGGCGTTTCCGGCCACTTGGCCAACGCGCAGGCCTGCCTGGCATTGGCTGCTTGGCGAAGCCTGGCGCTGTGAAAGTGCGACAGCTTCCCAATGTCGTGCGCAGAGCCGACATTGTGAGATTGCGCTTTCTGAATCATGCCACGGAAAGTGTACAGCGCAGAAGCTGCCACCCGCGCCAGCTCTGAATATTACAGATTTCGGACACATTGCCACGGCACAGGCTTTCAAACTTAGCACGTTCATCCACAAACGCAATAAGTGCCATCCACGTGCAAACTCCAGTTATCAATTGTTCATCTGTACTTTCCCGCATTACGCCCACTGCGACTGCTTCTTCTGCCATTCGGCGGCAGTGTCGCTGGGATTCAGCCATTCTGCTCCAAGTGCAATTCAGCACTGAAGCCTGTCATATGTCATATGGTGAATGCTGTTGCCCGACAGCGTGTGCCAACAAACTTTCATCAGTTTGCGCGTGGCGGGAACGTGAAGGAGCTTCTCCCAACACTGCAGCGGCCACTTGACCACGTCGTAGTGGCCACTTGACAGAGACACATACAGGGCCGAACACCCTGAAAAGCGCAGCAACCTTGAACTAGTATGAACTAGTGCTGCAACTTTTGCTCCATGCGTCTCTCGTCCTGAAAAGGTTAACAGCTTCTTATCCGGCTGTGGATCAAAGCAAGGAAGCCATTTGCCGTGCCCTGCGGCTTCGTGCAACGCAGCATGCAAGTTGCTTTGCATTCTCTTGCCCAGTAGCGGCTACGGACTTCCGGGAGTCCGGATGGTTCAGCAGGCGTCGCCTTCAACAGGTTAATCTTCAAGTCTTGCTTGAATGGCTAAAGAATAAGCAACCTTCATACCATCGCACCCTGCTGACAGATCGGCAGAACCATGACATGCTTCCAAGCTCCTTTGCCTCGGCTGGCATCGAGACGTATGCGACACGGCCGAGCTTCAAGACCACCCTCACATGCAGGCGGGGCAAGGTCTAGAGTCTACAGGGATCGCTCTTGACTTGTTAAGGTTGGGCCTCGCAGTCCCTTTGCATCGACGTTTAGTTTCCGTAGTGAGTGCGCCATGCTTTCCCACGGCCGAGGTTGCACAGGGCTGGGTTCCCATGTCGTGCATGGGCATCATGGTGATGCACCTTGGCAGCGTCAGGCGGTCAAGCTCTTCAATTGACAGGGTCTTTCCTTTCAATTTGTTTCCTTAAAGGTAGGTCACTTGTCCTTGTTTGGCACTTCACCTTGCCCACCCTATTTGGGGCTAAAGCGCGCTCTCCTCCGTATGAAGCCCGCCAAAAGTCTAAAACGACCCCAATCCCAGCTTTGTCATCCGCACTGAACCAACCTTACAGTTTCCTACAGTTACCCCAAACCCATCCCAAAACCACGCGTAGACCATCGTAGATAAAATCGAGCCAACACCCGAGCCAACGCTTAACCCAAGCCTAACCCAGCCTAAGCTCAGCGTGAATCACAGAATGCGCACCAAACTGCGACTAAACGAAGAGGGGGTGACCGACCCATGCTTATTTTAACGAGCGTTACCATGTTTTGCCGCATTCTAGAATAGCAGGGCTTGTTTTGTTGCTTTGTTTGTGTTGCCTTGTTTGCTTTGTTGCTTTCCTCGCCCCTTCGCATTTCTAGTTTCTCGTCGTTTTGGCTCTTTTGGCTTTGAGTCCTGAATGCAATGCTACGCAAAGTCTACACCAAGCTGAATCAAGCTTCCATCTCACACGCCCTAACCCAATCCTAATCCAAACCTCAACATCGTCCTAGGCACGCAGTGCGTTTTTCGCAAAAAAGCTCTCTAGCGTTGGGTTCTCGTCTAACTGTCCAACCACAAGGAACCAAGGATCAGTGGCGGTATACCGCTGGCTGCAAAAACGGCCAAGCTCCAGGGCCTGCGTGCTGGTGGGATTTGGTCCACCGAGGTGTAGCGATGACGTTCGTGTGCCGTCCAGACACGGTGCCAAGAATGAAGTCAGAACTGTCGCTCAGATGTGTCGATCAGAAGTGTCGCTCAGATTTGTCGATCAGAAGATTCGATTATCAGAAGTGTCTCTCTGAAGCGTCGTTCAGAAGTCTCGCTCAGATGTGTCAGTCAGCGGTGTCGATGGGAAGTGTCGCCCAGAAGTATCAATCGGAGGTGTGGGCCAAAAGCATCGGCGCAAACAAGTGTCGCTTAGAAGTGACGATCAGAAGTGTTGCTCAGAAGTGTCGGTCAGTAGTATTGCTCAGAAGTGTCGCACAGATGTGTCGGTCAGACGTGTTGAATGAATGATAAAACGAATGATGGTTGCATGGACGCATGGTTGCATGTTTGCATGGACGCATGGTTGCATGTTTGCCTGGTTGCATGGTTGCATGATGGCACGAGTGAAAGGAAATGAATCAAATGAATGCATGCATGAATGAATGAATGCATGAATGCGTGAATGCATGAATGCATGAATGCATGAGTGAAAGGAAATGAATGAGATGACTGAATGAAATGACATGAAATGAAATGCAACGCAATAAAACGAATGAATGAATGCATGAATGCATCAATGCATGAATGCATGAATGCATGAATGCATGAATGCATGAGTGAAAGGAAATGACTGAGATGAATGAATGAAATGACATGAAATGAACTGCAATGCAATAAAATGCGTGAAGTGAAATGAAATAATGACATGAAATGCAATGAAACGAGATGAAGGAATGAAGGAAGGAAGGAATGAATGAATGAATTGAATTGATTGATTGATTGAATGAATGAAAGAATGAAATGAATGAATGGATGAAATGAATGAAATGAGCGAATGCATGAATGCATGAATGCATGAATGAATGAATGAATGAATGAATGACTGAATGACTGAATGACTGAATGAATGAGTAAAAGAACGAAAGAACGAAAGAATGAAAGAATAGAAAATGAGCGACTGCAGGAATGAACGAACGAACACATGATTCGCATGATATGAAAGGCTGAGTGACAGGAAATGAAATCAAATGAATCACGAGAGGAGAAAGAGAGTGAGAATGAGTCAATGAGGTGAGAGTGAGCGAGGGCGAGTCATCACATTTCAGGCTTCCAGCCGCAAGGTGAGGGGGAGATTGCTTTGGGTTTGTGGCTTCTTTCAGGTTTTCCGCGACACCCAAGTGTTTTCTCTCCCCGTGCGCAAGACCGCCATCAATTCGTGTTCATGTCACGGAAGTTTCTTCTGAACTTACGTCTCAAGCGAGTACGGACACTGCCCGCCATAATCTCACAGAAAAAGCTCATCACACACCCGCCCCAAAGCCAAGCCAAGTCAACCTAACCCTAAACTCACCCTCCCACACTCCTCCTAAGCCCTCCCTTTACAAATCACTTGAAACCCACCTGTAGATGTAAATCCTCTGGCCCAGAAGCGTCATGAGCGCAGCGCCAGGTGCAAAAAGTGAAGCCGTGAAGCAGAGGGAGGATAGCCCTTAGGTGCCCACTTTGTCGGCCTGAGTTGTAGAAAATGGCCGTTTGCCACGCGCTCTTCTACCAAGTGATGACTGGCTTCTGGCCGTTCTCAAACAGTGGCATGTGACCTTTTACCACGTCCCGCGCCTGGCTCAGAGCGGGTAGCTGCAGCTCGTTTGCCTCAGCAGAAGATGGTGCCAGGTGTGACGATGTCCAGTGGCATGCAAAATGGCAGGCTTGAGCTCCGGCCAAACAAGAGGCCCGCAATGCTTGCACGCCCTCTCGTGCGCTTGGGCAGTCTTGGGCCTTTTGGGCGGGCGTGATTTGGAAAGGGGCCTGGCTATACGAGTGGCTTGTTCGAAACCATTTCAGACCAAGGGCGGGGCTGTCAAGTCACCCGACCCGTGGCGTTGCAAGGTTGCTGGTTGCCGCGAAGCTTCCCATCCGCGAAGCGGGCAACTAGTCCCTTGGACGCCTCCCACCATCGGACGGAAGCGTTCATCAAGCTTGGGTTTGCGGCTTGCTCTTGTGTGTGTGTGTTCGCCTGCTTGGTTCAGTCACGCATTGCGTCTGAAAGTTGGCCGTTTGCGGACAGGCTTCAAGAGATGAAGAGACGCCCATGTGTGTGTGGGTTTGTTTGCGTGTTGCGTGCGCTTGTGTGTGTGTGTGTCTTTGTTCGTGGGTTTACGCATTTCACGGTCAAGCACTGGTGATCAGCCTTTTGGTACCGTTGGGCCACAGACACGTTGCTGAAAGCGTATGCAAGTGATGCGTTGACCAGCTGGCTAACGTATCTTCAGCGCGCGCGGTTGTCAGCAACAGAATGTAGCGCAAGGGGCTGTTTCTTCTACCACAGGTGTGTGAGTTACTGTCGGTCGGTGCTTGAAAAAAACCGCGTGTTTGGACCAGGGTCTGGAATATTTCTTAAACGTTTGGGGAATAAGACATGGCGGTGTCAGTCCAGAGTCTTGACCGGATTTCTAAGTTTTGTAGATTTAGGCGACACTTTGTATTGAGTTGATTGAATTGGTAGGTTCCTTTTAATTTTTCAAATTGCATGATCATGGACAGAAGACTCAGAAGACTAATGGACCCCCGGAATCTCGTGGTCTCCCCGTCTCGGTTCCCGTGGTTTTCCCGTGCTCTTCCTAACACCCACACCAAAAAAGTACGGGGGCACACGACGCTCGGCTCCGTTGCGCGTCGGTCCCCGTGGCCACTGAAGTCTTTCCTTCTGGTCTGTTCCCCGACGGCTCGGATAGTTTTGGCGAATTACTGGCAAGTAGTTCCGCGCGTGAACAGCGCCCGCGGCGCCGGTACCAACAAAGAGCTTTGACCTGAGGGCGTTTTTCAATTTGTACTTTTCGGAGCGTTTGAATGTGTTTCTGGACCATTTGAGGGTCCAATTTCTTGCTTCATAAAATTTCTTAACACACCGATCGACCGTACACCTTATTCATCGCGTAGAAGGTTTGCATGTAAGGGTTGCACCGCCTCCCGACAGGTTGTCAGCTGTAAGACGGCTCTACAACTCCAGCGGACACATGGCAACTGCTCGTCTGCTACAAGCAAGCGGCGCATGCGGGTCATGCTGTCCATGTCTTTGACTTCCTCCATCAGCGCGAGGTTAGCAGCGATCAGCTTCTTGTTTCTCGTCATGCATCTCGTGGCGAAATGCCCACGCTTCATAGCTGTCTCAAAAATCTTTCTTTTTCTTTCAACTCCTTTGTGGGTCTGA